TTTCTCACTTGTTTACATTCCACTCGTCAAAAGGCAGCCCAAGTTAAGGCCAGTACGCCCAGTTGAAGTGGCTTCTGAGGTGACAACGCCTACTGATCAGCAGGAGGATAGGAAGAAAGTAATAAACTTATCATTAATTCTTCTCAATCCAAAAACAACCGCGTTCCTGGAAAAAGGACTCAATTTTTCACTTCAACATCACAGAAGCCTTCTAAGAGACATCCTCGTGGAGGTTATCAATATCGCCGACAAGTTCCCTAAGTAGACAAAACGGGAAGTGGAGATGGAACTAATTCCAAAGATCTTGACACATCAGGAGCCTACATACAGAAACAGATTTGCCGTGATACGCAAAACTCTGGAAACGAGTGAACAATTAGTCCTTTAGGTAGATAAAGGAGGAGCTTTAGTGATAATGGACAAAAAACAATATACCGAGAAGATGGAACATATTCTACGAGACAGGACCACATATAGTATACTGAACAAGGATCCAACTATGAAGATCAATGGGATGTTAAGTGCCATTCTGAAAGATATGCATATGCATAAGGAAATTGACGCATGGACAATAAATTCAATCATAAGAAACGATACACGACCACCAACAGCATACAGATTACCGAAGATACACAAGGAAGGCGAGCCACTTAGCAAATAGTCAACAACAAGTATGGAGCAACACACAAATTGGCAAAGTTTATATGTTTAAAACTCAAGAAATTAAATGAGAGACTATCTAACAGGGTCAAACATTCATATGAGTTTTCTCAAAAAATCAAAAATGTGACACTGGAAGAAACTGACTTATTAGTAAATTTCGATTTGGAATCGATGTATACAAATATCTTCGGAGAAAATTCGCTAACGGCCCTGCTGGGAATTCTGGACCGAGAGGAGGATATCATGGACTCACAACGGATCAGGAGGGAGTCGTTGACAAGACTAATCAACTTGACAATAAGGACCACCTCTTTTACATTCAACGGGAACATCTATGAACAAATATTTGGACTTCCCATGGTATCACCGATCTCACCACTTTTGGCAAAGGTATAGATGAACGAAATAGAAGAGAGCTTCAAGACGGCACCGCTACAACCGACAGTGCTCATGCGGTACCTGGATGATTACTTCGCACTTTGGTCATATGGAAGAGAAAAACAAGAGCAATTTCTGCAATTTGTAAACCGGAGTGATGCAAAAATTCAATTCACAGTGGAAGTAGAGGAAGGTGAGCGGTTATCGTTCCTGGAAGTTGAAGTGATTCGTTCTAATGGAAAGCTGAAAAAGAAATTGTTCAGAAAGTAGTCCTATGCGGGGATAATACTCAATTTCCGGTCCCATCACAATTACAGGCTAAAGATTGGAATAATGAGGAGCATGATCATAAGAAGCCTACGCCTGACGGATGTGGAATTCTGGGACGAGGAGGTGAACAAATTGACGAGGATATTCCTCAACAATGGCTACCCAAGCGAAGTGATACAAATAAACATACGGGCAGTGAAAAGCCGATGGCAGAAAGGGGACTATGAAAGAACAGTAAGGACGATTAAGGATTCACAAAAGTGGATATGCCTACTTTCCTGCGAACTAACTCAGAAACTACGGCCAAAATTGAATTAATGGATTATTTAGGTGGCCATGAAAGAGAAATTAGCACTTTTCACAAGTCTACCGACGCAACATGAAAGGGTAGATAAATTGGATCATTCAGGATTTTACTGTTTATCATACGGCGCAGGCAAACATAAATATAATGGCGAAACAGGAAGACAAATTAGCACACGAATCGAGGAACATCAAATGCTCTACAGGAAAATGTATACTGAAAGATCAGAACTAGCGGAACAAATCGAAGAGACCGAACACGAGAGCAATTGGAAGGCAACAGAAAGAAGGGCCCATACAGTGACAACGCAAGGAAGCAGAGGATTATGGAGGCCATTGACATTCTTGGGGAGACAAATCGAATGAACAGGAGATTAGAGGAAGGTAGAGTTAGCGATAACTTTGCCTACTGCCTAAGCAAACTCGGAGAAAACAAGAATGGAGCAAGACCAGCAAAAAGGAGACGCCTGGATCAAGCATCTACCGCAAACAGGAGAAGGGATCGCGATGAAGAAAGTGGGGGCAGGCGTTTTCGGCAATAAAGCGAAGACGTTGTGAGTGAGTGATGTCAGTTTCGAATAAACCACTACAACTTTGGGGGCCTGGCAGTCAGGGAGCTTGGCAAACGGATAAGCAAACCGCCAGGGAAATTCGGTGTTATGCCCAAAATGCACTAGAAATTCACTTGAGATGCCGCATGCGATCAGAGATAGGCGTTCAAAGTTTGCTCAGATAACATGGATTCAATGAAGGATGAGACCCATGAAGGGAAGGCCTGATATCTGCAAGCATGGCAATCAGAGCTTAGACGCTCTGCTCAGTGAAGCGGCAATGTTCGTACTTCTAGGGCCTTGAGAAATAGCGCCTGAAGTGAAATGCACACTGGCACTGGGACTGGAACCGAGTGAAATTGGTCAACCAGAAAGATAAGGAAAGGATCTACGAGACAATGAAGGGATCCGGATTGTAGGCACGAGTCGGATCAGCCGATCAAAAGAGAGGGGGTCAGGGTGAATAGCAAGTGTGATGAGGCCACACTAGATTTGTCACAAAATGGCACACCTTTTGACGATTGGAATGTAAACAAGTGACAAGTTGTGATAAAGTAGCAGTGGGATAGGAGGGTGAAAAGTAGACAGATAGGCCAGGACAGTAAGAGGAGTGATAGTGTAACCGCTTTCGGCAGAACGTTTGTCGAGGGATTGATTTCACTTGTCTCTTTGACGAGTTCGTAGCTTGGTGCGGAGAATAGCAGCACTCACTGAGATGCCTGCGAAACGTTTGAGAATGTACCAAGTCCACTGTCTGAATTTGGGAATCATGACAACTACTGTCAGACGACTTCGGACTAGGTGCGTTCTACTAAGTCGCCCTGACAACAAGACCAAGTTGCGACAACGAGGTCTGAAATCACTTAATCTATAGGTGATAGAGCACACAAATGGACCAATCAAACAAAATCTTGTGTAATGATACTGGGGTACCATTCATTTTGTTTGAAAAGGTGGGACGAGAGGAATCGTAGATTGGCCGCACCGGATACCACAGGAGGGTTGCCTTGGACTTTTGACTGTTGAATTATGCGAAGTAGATCTCGGCTCAACGCCCTACGACCCCGACGACTATGTGCTGAGCTTTCGTCAGACATCACCAGGGCCAGAAACCACTATTCACAGACAATCACCAAAAACACTAAACCAAGAAAGGTGGCCAGTTGAGATTCTACTTATTTTGTATACCTCATTTTGCCTCATCCGGTGAGGCCAATCT